AAGCAGAATTTCACTACATACCGAATGAGTTTGTAACTCTAAAAAATAGAACAAAATAATGTGGAAATCTTCTAAAAGACGGACTAATGCTCAGCTTCTGAAACCATTCTCGAGAAGAATTATAAAAGTATCCTGGGTTGCAAACATTTCTTGAAAAGCGTACAGTAGAGAACGTTGCCAAATGAAGGACCTTCCAGTCGCACAACGCAAAATCAACAATATCAGCGTTCTCACACGGACAATGGTTGGGAGATTTTCGTATTATAGACTGGCGGATTACCTGAAAATCCCCCAAACCACACATTCTGTACCGGCATCACAACAGACAACACGCCAAAGGCCAGTGTGACACCGAATTCAGTGACTAAAATTTAAGGCAGATGCACGAAGATTGGAAGCTAATTTCGTGTATCGGTCTAAATGTGCGCTGGGTTGAACGTTTTGCAGCACTAGAGAACAAGAAACGACGCAAAAAAAGAAAATGAGCGCCAGCCAGCTGGGCAGTTTTCGGTATGTGAAGAGTTGCGGCGATGCGGGCACTTGCGAAGGCAGAAAAATGTGTTCATGCTCCATAAGGGAATGATGGGTTGAATCTCCCTATTGTTTACTACCTAGGTCGAAGACTTGAATACTGGCAGGAAAAATGGAGAAATAAAGAAAAAGTAAGGTCGGGCGCAAATGAAATAGACATAAAAATTAAAGCATCTTGAATCGTGTCGTCTATGATTGGACATTGAAGATAAAGTTCGCTCTTACTTACAAGATAGAACCGTTTTGTAGGACAGAAAATAAGAAACTCTTAAAAGAGGAAGAGAAACCCAGAAAGCTCATCGAAAGGAACTGATGCGGTAAAATGATCGATGACAAATCAATCTCAAGAAAGCCATCTAATTCGTTGCCGAAAAAACTCAACAACCTCGTATACGGTATCCCACGCTACAATGCCTATGTATAACACAAAGAATATTTCTCAACCAATAATCGCTTTTTACCAGTTATCAAGCATTTTTACACAAATAATTATACCTAACACTTGTTGAGTCTGACCAAAGAAACCATTATCAAATATCACTGAGAAAGGCCTTAAGCAGAACTAGGGTTAGTATTAATTCCATTCAAATTGTGTTATGCCATTACCAAACTAGGACTTCTGGCCTGGATTAGTGGAAGTCGACGGACTTCGAAACCTGACTGCTGTACATGAAGGGGGTAGAAACACTGTTGAGAGGAGGGGCAATGGCAATGGGCGGGTAACCACCTCATTAAATGCTATCGTACCCCACCGGTTAGTTCCAGTTCACGCCGAAATCTTCCATGTAGTCATGTAGTAGGTGAACCACCCCCTAGAGCTTCTTCAGACAAAAAAAAATTATTTAGTTTTCTCAGAACTGTTCGTACCATTTTAGACTGATGAAGCCACAAAGAAGAAAACCCGGGACGGTTTTTCAGTAGTCGGGCTGCGGATCATAACTTCGGCGCCAGTCAATTGCCGAACAGCTACCCCATAAACTTGACGAAGACCTTTTTTCGATGCGCTGTGTGACGGGAGAGGGCGTAAAGAGAAAAACCTCTTGCCGTACAGTGAGCGCATTGCCCGTGACAGTTTGATGTCTACTGCATTTTTTTTTTGTCATAAGGTTAATGAAGGAACCGAATTTCCGCTTCAGTTTCCGTTCTTTGATTATGCTGGTGAGTAATGGACCGTTGCACTCTAGCTATCGACGTTGGAGACAATGCAACGACACTCGACAGAAAATAAATTCACACAAAGCAGTCGTGAAAAATTGCCAACAGCCGCACATTTACTGCAGGACCGCTGTATTCGAAATGCCGATATGAGTGGACGTCATGGCGGAGCAAATCGAATCAAAAGTCAGGCATACCTTCCCAAAGACAAGAAAAATGTTCAGCATCCCATCGATTAGTCGCTAAGAAGGAAACGGAAATGTACGCCATCATTAAAATGTGTTACTCAACTTCGCTTCAAAAGGTAATTCAATGGAAATCAAAGGAAAATGGTATTAAAACAGTCCGATAACGATTAATCGAGAAGTGAGAACTGACACCTAGCGAGAAGACGCCGATTCATTTATAGATAGCTACCTCCAGTTCTTGCTCATCACCATGATACCTATTCCACGACTTTCCCTTTCAAGAATAGGCCTCTATGATTCAGCTAAAATCACTCTGAGCCGTCCGGGGACTTGGATGAGTACATAATTATTTAAGAGGGCACGGTAGAACTATAAATTCTATAAAATTCTATTTAGAAAAATTGAAACAAGCAAGAAAAGGCGAATCATTTCACCGTATCCGCATCGTCGCATCAAGCTCGGCCATGCCTGCTGAGTGGTGTAGTTTTGTTTCCGAGTTTTTGTAACGAGGAAATCTACTCTTCTGCGTACCCAAACTTATTTTTTCCAAGTCATACGATAATGTCTTCCCTTTAGCACGGGTTGACTGTTGAATATGGTCGCACTAAATGATACTTTCTGAACTCATAAGCGCGTGGCACTCACGTATTCCAGAGATCCCTACTTGTACAGTGCGACGCTCTCTAACCAACGCTGTTGGTAGTCTTAGGGGCGAAGAGACAACAGAGGTTAAGTAAGAAGTTAAACTGTGCTCAAACCCAAACTAGTATGAATCCAAACTAAGATGAAATGAGAAGTTCGCTAGCTTCTTCCATGTTTCCACTACAAATTGCATTTATCGGTGTTACTTTAAATATTTGCAATTCCCCTTTCCATCTCATAACCAATAATAGCTTTTCGCTTAGTTCACACGGTAAATTGAAATTGAATGACATTTAAACCGAATACTTAAACAAAACATAACATCAACATAAACTATGACCACGGAATGCTCTACTCCCTAGCCAAGGAGCACTTCAGACCGTGAAGATGTAGGCTATTACTAAGTGTTTACACTAATAGGCTATTATCAACAACCAGATCATTGCATGCACTCGCCTCACGTGGAAAGCTAGTCGCGTGCTAACCAGAGCACTTGAACGACGACTGGGGCAACAAGTCACCACGTCGCTTCAGCGCAACGAATGTGCGGAGCGACCCAGCTCACGGCTACATTCTGCGTGTTTATGTGTATAACCGCGTACAACTCTCTTCATCTTTAGATTTTGGAAGTGCAAGCCATGTAATTCACTAATTCCTTAAAGGGTCGAATGAGGATAAATATGACGGGGAAAAATATAATGTTAGCAAACACTATTGCCATCAACGACCGCTTGACATAGTGCCGAATTCATGGGTCAAAGATCATGAGTCACGACACTCGCTCATTTGCCATTTCAAACTCACTAACGAAGAACCAGCGAGATGGCAAACATCGACATTGTGCGCATATCGCTACCAATGGCAAAGTGACAGCGAAGACCGCGCCAAATGCACACTTTATCCCAAAGTGAGTGGTCCTGGAACAATGAACCTACCTAGGACCACATAGGGAGTTCGCCCGTAAATAATCCTATCAATGAACACCATCCCTTTCCTAGTAGATTGTACATGCGGAACATACTTTCAAAACTCAGATGGCATGTACGACACTACTCNACGGGGGGGGGGGGGGGGGAATTTATTGAAGATTAACGAGGAACGTTTGGAACCCTACACTGCTCACGTGAAGATGGTCCTGATCGAGTGATCGAGTTGAAAGCTCAAAATTCAATAACAACAATGAAGTGAAGGCGGAAAAAGATAAGTGAAGTTAAAAGAGATCCATACGGTGATAGGGTCGCCTTGAAAGGGTTACAATATGATGTCTAGGGCAGTCAATAACTAAAATTGCCATCGCCTCCGAAAGTGTACCTATTCTGAATCCTAACAAGAAATTTGTGAGATAGGAACTGTTCTTTTATGATAGCAGTTATAACCCTTTGAAGTGCCACGTGCTGATAATGAGAAAAAGACTTTCTATAGCAAATTCTTGAAGGAGATGACCCGCCGTACAAAACATATTCTTGGCGGTCAGCACTTAGAGTTTCTATGTATAATGAGCTAATGCGCAGCAGCGTGCGACAGCTAGAGAGATTTCAAAAGATTTACTCTTCATTTATTTCCCGGTCGTGTTGTTTGAAACTGTTCAGTAATTAACATATTATAAGCGCATAGTTGTAAGCTGTATGATAAGTATCAAAAATTCAAAGCAATCAAACAAAAAGAAATTAGTGGTCTCACAAAAATTTGCTTCAGTAGGAGCCCAACAAGTTTAGAAGCCGAAGTCAGAGTTTGTAGCATTATTCTCATGATTTTTCTGTTTTTACCTATACCTCCAAAATGGAGAATTCAATCACAATGAAGACATCGAATAGGAAACTCATTAACACGTTGGCGAACATGCGTCCGTCCCGATGCCAGGACGTACGTTTTCGGCTCGCTGGGGTATTTATATATTTATCAGGTGTTCCCATAATTTTTTCATGTTTTCATGTAACAGTTGAGCTCACAGCCTTCTAGAGAACCTTAAAGCATTGCGGTCAAGGAATCATTCATTTCCAACTACAGATATAAGAGAAAATAAAGGTTAATGTAAGGACAAACAAAAGCCCGGGCGGTAATGGGTTAAAACACTACCGGCCGACTTGACTGAAAATTTAGCGAGATGTCAGTAAAGTCGATACATCAATGTGAGGGCCAATCTCTTTTACCTATGACCATTTAAATACTACACAAACGAAATTCGACAGTATCATAGATGAACACTATGGGTGCTCTGTTCATTAATGGCGCATTTTCACCCATTCCGACTCTTGGCTATATCTCTATCCCTATATACAGAAACTACACTATTTTCTCAGCCGAACGTTTGGAAGTTTCAGCATTCTATTTCCTAGGCCCAAAGAAAAACGTTCAATTTTCAAAATTGAGGATAGGAATTTCTCTGTTCAATTTTCAAAATTGAGGATGAGAATTTCATCTCCCCTCGATTAAACTGAGAATATTGGAAGGTTCAAACCCGTTCCTCAAAAAATGCAACTAAACTCACATATTATCTCCTCTTATAATGTACAGCCCAAGCGGAATCTGTTCAACTCCTTGAGTTTCGGAGTAAACACGTTCATGTGAATCTTCAAGAACAACATTTACGAGTTGATCGAAGCCCTAAAATCAAAAATTAGTGAAATACCACCGAAGTCCGTCCTGTAACATCAACAACCAAGAGGTAATACTACGACTCAAAAGTAAAAACCTTTAAAGTCAGTCAAAGGCAAAGGGCTAACACTCGGCAAAAAGAAGTCAAAACATGATAGGTATGTGAACTATATGATTTGTAGGATTAGGGTCGTAATTAGCTCCCTGATAATTATTTTGATTTACAAAAAAACTTATCCGGGAAAAAAAATCACTGACCTTCATCATGCCGACGATATTCCTTCCATCACCTGTCACCACCGATATAACTCGGTTCATAAATGTATCCAAGGTAGACGTCATCCTGTTAATTTCAAGTTCGTCTCAATTTGATTACCTTGGAAAACTGATGTAAGAATTACGTAAACCAGCTAATAAATAATCCTACTCAGAGCTATTCAAGAGCCTGAGGGGGCCTCTCAATTAAATGGTAGTTTAAATGGAAGTTTCTGGCTACAAAGGTTTCAATGCATTCTAACGAAATCGCTGCGACAACGTCAAATGATAGCTCGATATAAAAACACAGTGCACTCCCAACCTATGCACATAGTCTCGTACTCTTCTGAAATTCGCTTAATAAGCTACAGGAGATGCGGGTGAGCTTGCACACTCACAAGCTCTCCAAAGAAAGCGAAAAAAATCTATGCTCCCCAAAAGGGCATCATTCATAGTGGGGCAACAAGGAAAAGATAAGAACAGGATGGTATGGGTAATGAGATTCCCATTTATTCCATGGACCAGATGCTGATGAATGTAGGAAGCTTTGAAAGGAAAAGGATGATAAAGGAACGTTATAAACCGAATCGCAAAGAAACTGAGTTTATTTCAAGCAGCTTATTAGGCATTAGCTATTCATTTCAAGATTTCATTCTCGAGGACCCTACAAAGATTGGCAAAAATCCATGAACATACGGGATGCTACTTCACAATTCGAATAAGATTTTAGCCTGCACCAATGGGTCCAAAATTTGCAATGGAATTTGTCTCTAAAAGCCAAAGAAGTAAAGTTGTCTTTATCCAAATTTACCAAAACTATCAAAGCTCTTCACAAGCCCCAGAACAGAGATCAATATGAATCTGTTAAAGTACCCTGTGTGGGTCAAATTCTTCACAAATGACATGGAAGGGGCCCTTTAAAACAGAACTGCGACGCCCATGAAGAACTCTTCGAGTAGGTGGACCAAAACTGTCTTACAAAAAACCTTATACCAGGGGACGAGGTTTTGCCTTTTATTAGTTGTTATAAGACACACAGCATTCATCATCATCATAGACATAGCAGAATACACAAAAAAATCCGGTTCAAGGTAATACAAAGCTCACGATGTCCCTGAGTCAAGCGGTTTAATGACTGAGGTGCGTCTGTGCAAAGTACAAAGTCGAGCAAGAATCATAACAAAAGGTAGGGCCACAAGATTATCATACTGCTTTGAAATAAATGTCAGTAAGAACTTTAATTTCTTCCATTTCACAGCGATCGCTGCAATCTCATACGATTCAATCACGTCTTACGAGAAAAGTCACAGAGGCAGAAAATCGCCTGTCTATTGAACACTAGCTTGCAATGTACAACGTTTACTTATTCAATATTCATCAAAAATTCAAATAAAAACCATATAGGGGCAATTGGATAGATCCCATAATACGAATCATGTGCACAATAGCCCTCCAAAGGTTTATTGTTCTACTTATCAACAGTGGCAGTTCATAACCAAATCGAAAACAGTCTTACCCAGATACAAGACAGCCGAACAAAAACTTTGGCCTGACAAGCACCATGAATAGACGTGGAATCAACCGGTTCATGAAGTAACACATGAGACAAGCTCAATCAACAAGCGGCAAACGACAACAATGAGATTATGTGCCTGACCACCAGGTATAATGGATAACAGTTCATAACAATCGCCACGATCTCATACGATTCAGTGCAAGGCGGCATTGTATCGCATGCGTGGTTGGGGCAGTCATTACAAACAGAATAAAGAGAACAATCGCCGGCGATGGCTGGGTCGCAACAACAAGTCGAAGTCCGTGGAGTGGAAGAGAGAGAGAAGAGGATAGGTAGCGGCAGTACTTAGCGTCCTCCAACGGGGAGCATGGAAGAATTAAAACAAAAAGATGGGTCATAAGCCAGTAACACGAGTGTGGAATAGAAACAATTAAGTGGTCTCAGTGACATAAAAGCATAGGGAGATGTTAAAGAAACACTGAACTCCGGAAAAAGACCGAAATGATGGAAGGAAGGATGTTCTAGAAAAAGTGGTGAGGTCTTCGAGGAGCTAGGTGCGATATGCAATTATGTACATAGGGATGTGCAACGTGGAGCATAGACAATGTGGGAAATGACCAACTTTCACGCTACAAAAACCTTAAACTAGATCATTCGCTTTGTGTTCACATTCACGACACTAGAATTGGGAAATACTCTGACAGGAGCTATAGGCAAATCTAGAAAGCTGGCATTGATGATAATAATGGCTATCAATGAAGATTAGTCATTTGCCAGAAAAAAAGAGACCGCGTGCTGAGTTTAGAGGACTATTTTTTAATATTTTTTGTTATTTTAGAAGCATGCACATTGTCCGAGTTCAGTACTGCTGCTGTGCAGCCTGTTGGTAACGCTGCCCTGCTGCATTACCATTCTGACGAGCACCTTGTTGGTATGTATCATATCCCGCACCTTAAAGGAACACTATTAGCGACCCAAAATTAAACTACTAGTTTCCAATAACGAAAACAAAAGCCACATAAAACACATGAAAAAATGAATTGTTCTGAAGTATTACCTGCTGCACCGTATGCATTTCCGTAAGCTGCGGCACCGTTTTGTTGACCATAGAAAGAATTTGCTGCACCGTACCAGTCTCCCCACGCTGCTCCGGCACCATAAGGCATACCCATTTGTCCCCAAGCTCCATACCAAGCAGCTCCTCCATTAACACCACCTCGACCACCATAGGGTCGCATCCCGTTTCCACGGCCTCCCATGGCAGCGAAACGCTTCCCTTGTGGCACGGCTTTTTTCACGTCACATTCGCGGGTTCCAAAGGTTTGTTTCGCTTGTGCTGAAGCCTTGTCAGCCGCTTCTTCTTCCTCGAATACAATGAAAGCAAAATTGCGGCGCATCTTTGTTTGCTTGTCGAAAGGCCACTCAATATCTTCAACCTTTCCGAATTGTTCGAAATGTGATCGGAGCTCTCCCTCGTTGTAATCGGAAGGCAATCCTCCAACAAACACCTTCTTATTCTCTCTTGACTTCGCGGGTTTCACTTCGACCTGAAATCAGACGTAAACGAATTTAAAGCACGGCTTTTAGATGAGAGCAACCTATCACAAACCAGTCAAATAAGCATGTATTAAAATGCCTACCTGCTTGTTCTTGATGGTTTGTTCACGAGCAGCAAGTGCTGCTTTGCAACCCTCTCCCGTAGCGAACTCGACAAAGGCAAAGCCCCTTGAGCGGCCGGTGACTCGGTCGAATTTCACCTGGGCCTGAGCGACCTCTCCAAACTGTTGGAAATGATTGGTAAGATCTTCGTTGAGCACATCATAGGCGATTCCACCCACAAAGATCTTTCTAAAAATGAAAATTATTTACTGATACATCTCATCTTCGTTTTATAGGGCAATATAGAGATAGCCCCACTTCAATGCCTACTTTCTTTTTGCAACACAGTTAAATTGCTCAGCCAACCCATTCATTTTCCATCTCAAGGAAATCAATCAAAATTTCAGAATTTTTTAAAACATTTCTTGAAGGCGAATGTTTGCCGGTGCTTCAGTGATTACACCAACAAGAGGGGAGCCTCCTAGAATCCCATGACTAAGTAGAATTATTCTGTTGCCTGTTGTTATTCAGCCGACCCCCTCCTCCTTGAGTAGCAATCATTATGTTTTCACCGACTGTAACAATCGAGTAGCTGTTACCCAAAATCTTTCCCTTCTCATGAATAGAGACCATTCCATAAATTCAGGAAACCAAAGGTTAGGTAAACAAATGTTCTTGCGATTAAATCGGAATTAACGGAAAATGATTCCTCACTTAGTCTCTAAGAGCGCGTAGTAGTTTAGTATAATAGTAAATTGAGATAGAAACAGAATGTCAACATGCCCACGTGGTACTATCATTTTCAGGCCTTATCACTGCTATTATTACTTTTTTCTCTTTACACCTACTACCCCGTACTACATAGTACCACAACATAACCAAATGTCAAGGCTCCACGTAAACATGAATGGCTAACGGATCTAAACGCTGACGCTTTGAATATCTCCCTATCACCCCTACTACATTTCATACCTATATGAAAATCCCCACCAAGCCCATCAGCTCAAGCCCAGCGTAACAGGAGATATGAATTCGATGACAACACTTACACAAAAACGAACAACTATCAAACCACATGCTCCTCGAACTATATAAAGTAGGATTATGATTTT